GGTGCTGGAGGTGGTCATGGAGATCCACCAAAAGGTTGGATCCATGAGGACCAAGATCCTGCTCCACCTCAGGAGTTTTTAACCCTGGAGGTGACCACGGAGATCCACCAGAAGGTTGGATCCTTGTGAACCAAGACACTGCTCCAACCCCGAGGGATTTTTAGCCCCGGAGGTGACTATGGAGATCCACCTAAAGGTTGGATCCATGAGGACAAGACCCTCCTCCAACCCTGAGCGGTTTTCAGCCCTGGAGATTCATCAGAAGGTTGGATCCTTGTGAACCAAGACCCTCCTCCAACCCTGAAGGGTTTTTAGCCCTGGAGATCCACCAGAAGGTTGGATCCATGAGGACAAGACCCTTCTCCAACCCTGAAGGGTTTTTAGCCCTGGAGATCCATCAGAAGGTTGGATCCTTGTGAACCAAGGCCCTCTTCCAACCCCGAGGGGTTTTCAGCCCCGGAGATCCTCCAGAAGGGTCGGATCCCCGTGGGACGCCCTTGGAGGAGGAGGAAAGGTTCCCCTGAGCCCTTACAAGCACTGGGGGCCACTCCTGGTGACCCGGCACGTCCCACGGTTGCAGTCGATGGTGCCGGTGGTGTCCGGCGTGCAGTTGGACATGCAGATCAACCCGGAGCTCGTCAGGTTGGGGAAGAAGAATTCCCGGTATCCCTCGGGCACTTCGCTCTGGCAATAGGCTGGAGAGGGGACAGAGGTCAACTGGGGGGACCCTGGAGACCCCAAACCCAGGGCGGGACCCCCCCCAGATGGACACCACCCCCCAGATGGACACCCCCCCCCCGATGGACACCACTTCCCCCCCCCCTCACCTCCCTCGTTGAATTCCCGCTGGACTTCGGTGACCGAAACGTTGGAGGTGAAGCACAACTCGTCTGGAGAAGAGATTGAATTGAGGGGTCTTGGGGGGGACACTCCCCAAAAAACCCCCCCCCCCCCGGGGGGGTCCCGGAGGGTTTGGGGTGGGTGGGGGGGGGGGAAAGCACCCCCAGAGTCCCCCCCCCAGCCGAGCCCGCGGGTACCTTCGCAGTTGAACTGCGTCACCGCCACCTCGACCTTCTGCTGCAGGTCGGCCGTGACGTTGTGGAGCTTCTCCTGGCTCTGGGTGGTCACCGGCAGGGCCACGATGACGCTGTGATGGACCACCACGCTGCCGGGGCTTGGAGAGGGGGAAAAAACCACGGTCTTGGTTCCAAATTCCCCCTTTTTTCCCCCCAAAAAAAGCATCACCCCCGTCGGTCCCCACCCCGCGCGCTCACCTGAGCCGCTGCACCTCGATGCCCCGGTAGCCCTCGATGGTCTTGTAGACCTCGTTCATCTGGAAGAGAGGAGGGATCCGGGTGGGATTTCGGGGCCTGTTCCCTTCCTGGGTGTCCCTCTTTTTAGGGGACACCCCCCTATTCCCACACACACACAAAAAAATCCATCCTGGTGGAGCCGGAGGAGACCCCACGGGACCTCCCGGGGAGCGTCCGTGGGATGGATCCGGATGATCCACCGGGGAGATCCTGACCCCCGGGGGTCAGAGAATCAGAGAATTGGAGAATCAGTTGGGTTGGAAAAGACCTCTGAGATCATCGAGTCCAACCCTTGATCCAACCCCGCCGTGGCTCCCAGCCCCTGGCACTGATGTCACATCCAGTCTGTCCTTAAACACCTCCA